AACATGCAAAAGAAAACGTCACTCCCTTCTATTTATTATTCTCTCTCCTCTAACTAACTCCTAGCCACACTCTGTAATTACCTCTATGCCCCGTCTAGAATAAACATACATTATCCTAGGCTTAGTGACTTTTGGTAATAATAAATCAGCATTCGTATCAGTTTTCATCGACGAACTTGCAATCTAGACCCTGATAAGAACATACATGATCAATTTGGAATTAAAGAATTACTAAATCAATTGATTTGGTTAGGTCCAGGTTTGGGGTTCTCATTCAACTCTCCAGAACCACCAAAATTCACTGATTGTAAAGGTTTTCTATAACAAATATTCCTTTAAATAAGTTCAGTTACTTGCCTATTCGTAGGCTGCTGCACCTTGATACAGGATGCTGTTAACTATTGAATTAAAAAATCAATGAATTCTGTCTAACAAAAGTTTCCAGATTAACCACCTCTTTTCATACACACAGAACTTATCTCCATATTGCTGACTATTGAATTAAATGATATTTGATTAATATTCATATGGCTTACTTAGATAGGTTATCCCTTAAGTATTTAATCAATCCTATAGTAGCAACCCTAGAAAATCTTCTACCCATCTTAACTTATAATCAGGCAAACAACAGAACCTTGTATTCATACTTCTGTAATCTCCTTCAATATCTAGCTCCCGTCAAATTTCTACCATGCCATATGCTTATATGACAATCAGGATGCCTGAGGTAAACTAATGTGTTAGTTACGGTACTGAAGTCGATGAACTAGTTTCTCAAATATGTAAAAATTATATAAACTATTCTTATCAATTATCATCAATTTATCTCATACGCCTATCTTTAGGATCGGCAGAGGAAAGTAAACACCAAATTGAGTATTCCAGTAATATGTTTTCCCCAAATAGGGCGAAGTATGGCCTCAGTATTCTATAAATAATTTCAGCGCTATCGGCATGTTCCTTACAAAAATACTTACTCTTATATATATTACAATTTTCTGTTCATTTTTTAGAATTAGTATAATACGTCGAATGATTAGAAAATCGCAACTTCCTTTTGCCCTAATTAAACATAAGCAGAAGAACTGGCATCTTATATACTATGTTACCTGTCAAATACTACCTACAAATACATACAGACTTCTTAAAAACCTACACAATAGTTCACACTGGACAACAAGCCCCATTAAGTTGATTATATTGCAATAAAATCGGTTATATCATTTCATTTTCAGAAACAGAACACTAACCTTTGAGGTTAATGGGTGTAAATCACCACAACGTACAGACATACAAGTTTGTTACCACAAAATAACACATAGACAGAGACGATAGATATATTAGGGATCGCAAGAACGAAAGCGCGATTAATTAGGGTATGTCGGCCTTGAATAATCCATCAACGTAACTTCTAACGGATAGTTATAAACTTGTATGAATCAACCTAGTTACTAAAACAAATTTGAAGCTGCTAATAAAGAAAATTGAATTCAAACAATATCCACCCATTCTAAAACCCTATTTTCAGTTTCTAAAGCAATCCAAGCATCATCACATATAACATATTCAAATCATCCATTACATACCTGCTTGATGATCTTGTCCCGAAGTTCATCAGTTAGGGTGGCAATAGTGGTACTAGGAATAGGAGGAGTAAGTTCATGGGAGTCCTGAAGAGGTTTCTCAGAGTGAGGATCCATGATCGTTTCCTCCGGCGAAGCAACGGAGGAGAAATCAGGATCATGGATTGGCATGATTACATCTTCTCCTCCGCCTTCCATTGAAGAGATATGAGAGAGAGAGAGAGAGAGAGAGAGTTGGCGTAGAAACCCTCTTTCTCTTTGCTGATCTCTGAAAAGAGTGGTCTTTTAGAGTGGCATACGACGGCCGCAACCGCAACCGCAACCCATGGAAGACGCCGTTCACCTCTTCAACTAAAATATTCCAGATACTGTTTTTGCTATTTCCAGACTAGCAACCGTAGTTTTTTTCCATAATTTTTCCTTTTTTAGAAGGTAATCCAAGAAAAAAATATATTTATATATATCAAAGTAAAACCTAGAAAGCATGAATCCAAAAAATTGATTATTCTTCGTTTCTTGAATTATGGTTGAGTTTATATATCTCATATTAATAAAGATATAAAATATTTATAATAAATTGTGGGTATTTTAAAGGAAATTTGAGATATATTTATGGCAACTTATGAGATTGACTCATTTTGATCAATCATGTAAACTCATGTTATTAACTCATTTTAACCAACCCTTCGAACTCATGGGTATGTTCATTATGGTCAACCTCATTTTAGCAAAAAGAAATTAATGCTCACTATTTATCTTTATATACATTAAAACAAACCGCACATAAAATGAAGTGATATTAAATGAAGAACAAAAAAGTATTGAGTTGGTATTATGAGAATGAAGTATTCTCAAATAGTGAACTGTTGTTGAACTTTAGATATCTTACATGGTGAGAAGTTCAAAGAATGAAATAAAGAGACATGTATAAGAATGAAGGATGAGATGACAAATGTGTCAACTAATGAGGTTTGATTCATGAAGTTGTCTTATTTTTATGGCACTTTTTTTGCAAAACAACGTTTATTATATAAAACAAATTTTATTGAAAGAACAACCAAGTATTATAAGGTGGCATTACAAGACTTGAGTATTCTCATATTTGAAATGTGGTGTGTTTTGATTATTTCATGTTGGTAGAAAATGATAGGTTGGAAAAAGAAATGTCTTTGAAATCTATAGTCGTGGGTTGGAATCAAAACCAATTCCAACCAAACGATAAAAAATACAGTTATGAAAAATAATGGTTGAAATCTATTAAAGTCAATCAAATGATAAAACTTATAGTTATGAAATAATTTTCTACATGTATACCAAAGTATGAAAGATGTTTTTCAAATGTATAGTCATGGTTGAAATCAAAACCATTTTCATCCAAACAATGAAAATTATAGTAATGAAAAACCATGGTTGAAATCAAAGCCAACTGGATGGCAAAACCATTTAGTAAAATTTATCTTAATTTTTGTATATTTATGTCTTAAAGTAAAACTTACAAGGAATGATGTGACATCCTAAGGAGTGAGTATTCTTCATTTCTTGAATTGTGGTTGAATTTTGTATATACCACATTGATCGAGATATAAAAGGTTTATAATAAATTGTGGGTATATGAAGGGAAGTTGAGATGTCTTTCTGACAACTCATGGGGTTGGCTTACCTTAACCGATCCTCTAAACGCACATTGTTGGCTCATTTTACCCGATCCTTCAAGCTCATGGGTTGACTCATTTTGGCCAACCCCCTTTTAGCAAAAAAATGTTAACCATACAAAATAAATTGGCTAGAATATAATTTTTGACCGACCCTCCTTTTGCAAAAAGAATATATATATATATATATATATATACACACACACAAAAATAATTTAATTAAATACAAAAATGACATAATGTTGATAAATATCAATAGTGAAAACTATAGCTTATAACATACTTTTTGGAGGGATCCTATCCGAACACTATCCTGACAACACCTATCCGGACAACACTATCCGCTTAACACTTGGAAATGGCAAACATATTCACTGGCCCCACCCTGTGAAGATACATCCTCATCGGACAACGCACACTTAGCCACTTTAAACATTAAATCCATACAATACTTAGGCGATGAGTAAATACTATCCGGATAACACTATGTCCGGTGAAGAGTCCTTATCGGACAAGGCTATGTCCAATAAGAGACCTCATCGGACAAGAAGTTAACATACAAATCTCTTCACCGGCCAAGGCTTTGCCAGTGAGGAGCCCTCATTGGACACCACTATGTCCGATTACAAGTCCTTATCGGACAGTAAAGTTCATCAAGAAATATGTATATATTCACCAGCAGATTCTTAAAGCCATTAAAACCAGTAATCATAAAAGATTAAATAAGTTGCTTGCATGTAGTAAAAACTCACTTTGCAAGTTTTTAATTTGAAAGAAGAGGAGATACAATCACAACTTTAGTCTCCAAAAATGGCAAGGAATTCACTCAGATATGTTTACACTCTTAACTTACCAAAATTGGCAAAAAGCTCTCACTTGCCAAACTTTCCTCTTTTATATACCCTTCCTTAAAAACAAAGGTTGTTGATTATGCATATAAACATGCATACAACCCACATACCATTACCCCCATGCATGCATATGAAGATTTTAAAATATGCACACAAATCACTTTTTTATGCATACACTTGCACACATACCATATAAACCACATATATTTTCTTGCATATTAACTGTTAGACCACAACCTATGAAAGTGTATGTAAGAAGTCTCTTACTCTAGTCAAATAGGACTTAGTCTATTGAAGCGGTCTAGACTAAAAGCTCTCATGCAGAAGTTCAAGAACCAGAACTCTTACTGAAGAGTGAAGGTTCCATTCATATAGATCCCGCGCTCTATTCCCGTGGACGATCAAACCTTGTGTGCCAAAAAGCATAAGCGCTTGACACAAAGCTACAACTCCAAGACCCAGAGCCTCTGCATAGTACATACAGAGCTTCTGTATGTTCATGCAGAGCTTCTGGCTACTTTCTCCATGGAACGCGTGTGTTAGCCCAGACATTCTCGCAAGCGTCTAACAGATTTGAGGCGGCTTGACCAAGTCTGCTCCGCTTTTCAAGGGAAGTCAAAGATAAGGACGCATACTAGTCAGCTCAGAGTTTCAAGCCTATTTTATAGCATAGTTGTTAGACATTGGCGTATATAAGGAGGCTTCCTCCTCAGGTTCAGATCACTTGAAGGAGCCGACTTATACTATACTCAAATTTTGTGAGATTACTTTTTTTATTGTTCTTCATATTTATTAATAAAAGCATTCAACATATTCAAATAATTCAATTGTTCTTATTTATACATTGAATATTTCGATTAATCATTCGAGATACACTGTTTGTTTTAATTCTCATCTTTCATAAACTATGTTTCTACAAATTAAGAGTATCTGGGTTCCAACATTAACCATGCATACTTTCCATACATGAAAATATACACATACTCACATATGAATCTCATGTAAGCATGTATCCACATGATCAATTATAGCAATTAATCAAATATTCACGTGGTCATATAATCAGGTAATCACATAACAATTACCTCAGGTGCATAACCAAGACCCGGTTATCACATAATTTTTTTAGATTTTTCAAAATTAAATTTTTCAAAAGTTGTCAGAAAGTTGTAAAATACTTAACTCTAGCTTTGATTGAGCAGAATGGGGGTATTCATCATGGGAAAAGGTGCATACTTGTTCATCAGAGGACCTGGCCATTAGAGTCAGAGATGTATGATTTAGACAAAGGTTTCTTATCATCAGAGGACTTGGCCATGAGACAGACTAGGTGTAACAACCCACCATGTACAAAAGTACTAATGAACAAAATTCATGCTATAGCATACACAAGGTTCCAATATTTACAAACATTTCTATATTGTTCACATAAATAACAAAAGTGTTGGTCCCGTTAAGGTCTACAAGATGTGTATAACAATTTGTAGAGGGGGGGATGAATATAAATACAAATTTTTTAAATTTAAAATATATATTGATAAGAAAGGATCAATACATATTTTACAAGATTGTTTGCGGAAAGATAAGGTAGACAAAACATATCTAAACAATCTAAAGTTACACACTAATTCTTAGCAAATAAAGAAAAGATTTGTTGTTAAAGAAGTAGAAGAAAATAAGTTCTATCTAGGAGAGAACTTGTTTAGAATACAACAAAGAGATTCTAACTTGCTTTTGAAGATGAGCGTATTTGTTCTTAGATGTGTGTGTTCTTTTACTTAAGCGTAAGTAAGTTTAGAGTAAAGGTTAAGAGTATCTCTGCATGGAGATAAAACACATCTATTTATACCCATTGCATTAAATGCACATTTAATGCAACGTGGTAGGGTTAGAACACGTATCAAGCCTTAAGGGGATGGCTTGTCCTTTGCTACAATAAATAGTACAAAAGCCTATTCATGAGCAGACATCCTTTCATAAAGTTGGTGGGTAATAGAGTCAACTAATCAGCTCCGTACCATACTAACGTTTAGAAAGGGTATGGGTTTGTTCTTTGTGTGTGTAAGGACAAGACAAAAACAATCATACTCAACAAGATTCTTTTGATCGCTGAATGTTGGAATAACCTGAAGGTCTCTTCAGCATTCGCTGAGGCTTAGGCAATCTTCACACATATGTAGACAAAGTTGTAATAACTGAATACTGCTTCAAATCACGTACTCGCCAGTCTCTAATCTTCAGTTTCAGCCTTCGACTTTCGCTAAAGGTTCTTTGGTGTGAGTTTGTCTTCTTGAAGTATCGTTGTCGCTGATTGGATTTACAATACAAGTTCTTCAATGATCACTGAACAGACTTAGGGGCTGTTTGGCAGTTGCTGAATGGTTTGGTGCAGAATGGTTAAGTGGTCAGAATGGTTAAGAGGGCCAGAATGGTTAAGTACTGAATGAAATAATGTTGTTTGGTAATTGTTATCTGAATGACAGTAAATTACCATTTTAACCCTCATTCACATTTTCTTTGAAGTTGAAGTTGGATAATGTGTTAGGGCCGATTAACCAATCTGCTTTATCGATTCAAGAATCAAGAACGAAAACCCTAACCAATCTGCTTCATCGATTCAAGAATCAAGAACGAAAACCCTAACCAA